TATCTATCTATCTATCTATCTATCTATCTATCTATCTATCTATCTATCTATCTATCTCATCCCTCCATCCATTTATTTGTGTATTTTCCTGTGCATGTGTGTGTGCTTGTAGTTCAAATGTGCATGCAGCAACCCATGGAAGCCAGAAGAGGGCATTAGAAGTCTTGGAACTGAAACTGCAGATAGTTATGACCTGCCATGTGGGTCCTGGGAATTGAACCCATGTCCTCTACAAGAGCAGCAGGTGCTTTTTTGTGTTGTTTAGTTTTTGGTTTTTGATTTTTTTTTTTTTTTTGAGACAGGGTTTCTCTGTGTAGCCTTGGTTGTCCTGCACTCACTTTGTAGACCAGGCTGGCCTCACAGCAATCCACCTGCCTCTGCCCCTCAGAGTGCTGGGAATACAGGAGTGTGCCACAGTACCTGGCTCATTCTTTTTCTTTTGAGACAGGGTCTCTTTCTACATAGCCCTGACTGTCCTGGAACTCACTATGTGGCTGGCCTGGAACTCAGAGATTCCTACTTCTTCCTCCCAAGTGCTGGGATTAAAGGAGTGTGTCACCATGCCCAGCTGTTTGCTTCACTTTTGAGACTTTTGAGACAGGGTCTTGCTTTATAGTTTAGGCTGCTTGGAACTTGCTAAGCAGATAGCCTTGCATTTGTGGTGATTCTTCTGGCTCTACCTCTGAATGCTGGATTATAATTGTGTGCCAATATACCTGGAAGACATCTTGAATGAATGAACATATCATAAATACCAAAGTTTATTCAGCATTCAAAAACCAATTCATAATTTTTTTTCTTTTTCTTTTTTTTATGAGACATGGTTTCTCTGTGTAGCCTTGGCTAGTCTTGAGCTCACAGAGATCTGCCATTGCCTCTGGAGTACAGGAATCAGAGGCGAGCGCCCTCACCACATGGCTCAGTATGGTTTTTTTTTTTTTTTTATATTAATAGCAGTGAACAAATCTCAATAGCTTTAGAGAAAAAACATCTGACAGAATTTAATACCTTTTATGCTAAAGAATTGAAAGAACTGTCTCCAAAAGCATGTGACAGATAAAATATAGAATACAATTTAATTGTCTATGAAGACAGTCTGGACTACGAGGAAATCATTCACTTTACCAAAGTCTCAGGACACGTGACGACCATACTAAGGTTTCATTGGTTAGCTATATGTAAGCAGAAGATAATTAGAAGGCGAAGTGTAAAAATATAGTGCTACGGTGCTGTAACCTTGGTGGTTATCACAGCTCTCTATTTGGGCTTAAGATTCTATTAGCGGGGGCTGGAGAGATGGCTCAGTGGTTAAGAGCACTGTCTGCTCTGCCAAAGGTCCTGAGTTTGATTCCCGGAAACCACATGGTGGTTCACAACCATCTGTGTGAACTGATTCCCTCTTCTGGCAGATGTAAATGTAGATAAAACATTTACATACATAAAAAAAAATCTTCTTAAAAAAATAAAGATTCTATTAGCAAGAGGAAATCATGCCTAGTAGTGAAAACACAGCCAACCACCCAAGACTTATGAAGCTATAGATCTTAGAGGAGAAACTACAACTGCCACTTCATTACACCAGCATAATCCCTAATTACATTTTAAATATTTGTCCTTATACTCACGGATAAATGTAGTCCTCACCCTTCAACAAGGAAACGTCTCTTTGCAACAATGGGAGACCATTACAGAAAACCACAACCAATCAAAATGTAGAGCTGTGGAGCCCAGTCCCAAAGATAAACCTACAAAGCCATTCCCACACCTAAAGCTCAGGTAACATTGCAGAAGAAAGACTAGAAAGATTGTGTAAGAGCAAGAGGAGCAGGGAGTTTGCTGTGAGACTGCGTCTCCTAGACTCATAAAGTCTCGCCAACATGGCTGCCCAATCAGGAGCTGAACACAGGTAACAACGGTAGACATGGCAGAGTGGATGGGGAAAGCCCACAGGGCCTCAATCTCAATCCTGTAGGCAAAGAACTGTAGGCAACTGAGTAAGGCTGAGTATGGGAGAAATAGGCTTCTCTAGGGCAGAGCACATCTACTCACTGTCCTATACCAAATGGTCAGTGCTGAAAACATACATACACATGCGTAACATCGTACAGACTGAGCAAATTGTATGTTTAGAAATATATATGTATATACATGTATATGTATATATATAAAACAACAATTAATGAAAACGAGGCCATGAATTTGAAAGACAGTCAGAAGGATATATAGGAGAATTTGGAGGAAGGAAAGGGAAGGGGTAAATGATGTAATTATGCTATAATTTCAAAAAATAAAAAGGGGCTGGAGAGATGATTCAGTGGTTTGAGTACCTTTTGTTCTTGCAGAAGACCCTGGTTCAGTTCCCAGCACCCACACACCAGCTCACAACTGTCTGTAACTTTAGTTCCAGGGAATTTAATGCCTCCATGGGTACCAGACACACATATGCTGCACATACATACATACATACAGGCAAAACACTCATACATACTAAAAAGTAAATAAATATTAAAAAATTAAAACAACACCAAAAGTAAAAAACAAAAACAATACCATTGGTGTCAGGTGTGGTGGTACAAGCCTTCCATCCAGTACTGGGAAAGCAGAGGAAGGTGGTGAATCTCTATGGAAACTATCCTAGTCTAAATAGCAAGTTCCAGGTCACTCACGGCTCTGTAGTGAAATTCTGTCCCAAACCAAAACCAAAACCAAAGCCACAATAAAACCACACTATTTATATGGTGAACATGACGTGATAACCATTGCACTGGGGAAACCTCCCATAGTAACATTGTAAGCTAAAGAATAATTTAGATATAAATATGACCTCCACAATGAAAGCCAAAAAACATTGTTTTAAAAAATTAAAGAAAGTTAATAAATGGAGAAACATCCCATGTTTGTGGATGGGAATAAAAAATATTAAGATGCCAGTTCTTCCTAAACAGGTAATAGATTTGACTCAATGCCAATCAAATGCTAGCAATGTGCTTATTTATTTAATTAGAAACAGGGTCTCAAAAATAAAATAAAATAAAGCTAATCATGGGCCTAGATGCAAAAGACTACAGTACCATGAAAACACAGAAACTGTCAGTGTTAGGCAACAACTCCTTGGAGATTAAAAAAAAACCCAACAACAACAGAGCCGGTATGACGGTCCATGCCTTTAATCCCAGCACTCAGGAAGCAGAGGCAGGTGGATCTCGGTGAGTTTGAGGCTATCCTGGTCTACAGAGAGAGAGAGTCCAGGACAGCCAGGCCTACTGCACAGAGAAAACCTGTCTCGAAAAACCAGAACCAAACCAAAACCAGAAAAGAAAAATAGTTACATTACTAGATGTCTCCAAAATAAAACATGTGTGCTTATCAAAAGACAAGGACACACATTAGTTAATGGATTACCAACTGGAGGAAAATTTTTATCTGTTTTTGAGACAGGGCTATAGGTTTGTAGCCATGGCTGTCATGGAACTCACTGTGTGGACCAGGCTGGCCTTGAACTCACAGAAATCTGCCTGCTTCTGTCTCCTGAGTGCTGGGGGATTAAAGGAGTGCGCCACCAATGTCAGCTTGCTTATTTCTATTTATTTATTTATTTATTTATTTATTCATTTATTTATTTATTTATTTACTTACTTACTCATTTATTTATTTATTTATTTATTTATTTATTTATTTATTTATTTATTTATTGAGAGAGTCTGTGTATGTAAGCCTGGCTGTCCTGGAACTCTCTGTGTAGACCAGGCTGGTCTCAAACTCTCAAACTCACAGAAATTTGGCTGCTTCTTCCTCCACCTCCTGAGTGCTAAGATTAAAGGCATGTTCTACTAGGCTCAGCACAGAGGAAGCTATTTCTAATCCTCGTGTCTAACCATATGCTCAAAATACTTCCATAAACTCAGGGCATCGCTGCATACCTGAGGCAGGGCAGTAGTGGAGGAAAGCTTGGATTGAGCTACGGAAGAGGTGAGGGTGCTGGAACTTTCTTCCATCCTCTGTACATGGATTCCCCGCTCCCCCCCCCCCCCCCCCCCCCCCCCACACACACACAGAGTTTCTCCATATAGCCTTGGCTGTCCTGGATCCTCTGCCTCCCTAAGTGCTTGGGTTACAGGCTGCCATACCCAGCTCATGGTTTTGGTTTGTTTTTGTTTTTAAGAGCTCCTGAAGCAAAAAAGAGGTGGCTGTAACTATAGGACCTCTCTTACAGGGTAATATTCCCAAAAAGATACGTGTTGGGGATGCAAGACAGATGGAATTGCTAGGGATGGGGGCGGGGGAGGGGGATGGCTTTGAATGCAAGGTCTGAAAGACACCTGGGAGTGATGGAGCTGTTTTATGTTCCACTCTGATGGTAACAGAACCTATTAATTAACCCTATTAATTTGTTATATAGAAAGTCAGGAAAAAGTCAAAAGAAGCAAGCACAGCCTCAGTGACCTCTACTGCTTCTCAGCCTCTTTCCCCAGGCTTCAGTCTTTTCATCAGAAAGAGGCAGAAAAACCTTAAAGAAACCCCTGCCCTGCTGGCTCCTGAGCAGGAAGGTCCCCGAAGCAGCTGGGCAGAGTCAAGCAGTATGGACCAAAGTCCAGGAGCCAGGCTGGACGCCCCACGTAGTTCCTCACCAAGGAGGACAAAGTTCCACTTCTGAGAAGAGTGGTACATTGTAAAGGAAGAGGTCAGAGCCGACCCGTCTGTGCCTCCATGCCCTGTCCTTGGACACTTGAGTTGCTGTGGTCCCCGTATCATGACCCATTGGCCCAGGTGGGTGGTCAGAACCTTGGTTACCCAAGATGGCAGGGTTGAGGAGCCATGGGGATACCTGATGGCTCTTCTGGTCCATTCTACAGACAAGGAGGCAAGGTTCTGAGGACAGCAGCCTGCCTTACTTTGGGGGTAGGGGTCCTGTGTGGTGTGGGGAGACAGCGGAGAACCAGCAATACATGGAATCCACCGCCAGTGCTGGCTACTCTGGGGCTCCTCTCTCTACTTCTCTGTCATTCCTCATTATTATCTTACAAGCTCGGTCTGCGGCTAGGAACCCAGTCAGTTCCCACTCGCAGGAAAACCATTATAAAAGACAGTTCTTGAATTCTCTGTGCAAATTCAAAGCGACTGGGAGAAGGGCCACTCAAGCTGGCAGCTGGTCAAAGGGCACAGGTCATGTCTAGACTCAGCAGTGCCATCCAGGCTCCCTGTGGCACTCAATAAAGAGTGTCTTTGTTCCATCATGTTCCTGCCAGTGCAGTTCCTTGTTTTGGGGCCAAGATGACAACTTCCTTCCATGGTCTTTTCTGAGCTGCACAGTGACATAGGTGATGTCTCAGCACCCTGGGTGGTGTGGGCCACGGGTACCAACTCCACGCGGGCCCCACTATGAACTCCCTCTACCTCGAGGAAGCTGTTCCACCACGATGGCTGGATCCAGGACCAGCACAGGGCAGTCCTTTGTGCTCCCTTCCCACATCTCCCTGAACCTCTGTTTCTCCAACCTTTCCCAGGAACAAAGGGAACGGGGTATTTCCTGGTCCTCACCTGGACATGATACTGTGAAGTCTCATGCATGATGACATTGGAGTTGGAGTACTTCTTCCTCTGCTCTGGATGGAGAGACAGATGTCATGCACCCCAAAGAATTAGACCCAGTCTGGTGAGACTGGACCCCCAGGGGTGACGGGAGAGTAGAGCTGAGATGAGAGGTGCTGTTCTTTGAACTCCTCACAGCCATCAGGAAGGACTGCAGGCTGGGGAGTGGCATTGACGCTCCTGTGGGGACAAGGAGGATCCACAGGAGGCCCACTGGCTTGGCCCCATGATGGGCCCCACTGGGGACCTGAAGCTCCAGGAGACAGGGACTTATTCAGAATGGGAGGGGGCAGCCTCTCACTGAGAGTTTGTTTGGGTGAGGGGCAGGAAACTCAGTCTTCTCTAATGGAGTCTGCCCAGTTTCCTAGGGAAGGAGTCCAGGCCAAGGCTCCCCTATCCTACAAGCTACCACCTTTCTCTGGAGCTCTTGCTGTCCAGGCCTCCAACTTCCAGCATCTAGTAGCCAGCATCCAGAGGCACAAATGAAGGGCATGGTTGGGGAGGGGCACAATGGAGCAGAAGTAGCTTTGGAGCAGATAGTCCCCTCTGACCCCACCTACTCGATCGGATTGCAAGGCTGCGCAGTAGAATCAATATTAATGCTCCCTGAATTATTCGTAAAGGCCTCTCCCCTTACAGTGTAGTGGAGAGCATTTAGTAGCCAGGAGCCTTGTAGGGAGATATCCAAAGTTCTCAGTGAATTAGGATCCAAAGGCCTCCCCTGGGTACTTAGAACCACCCAGGCTTGGGACAAGCAAGGATGAGACCACTATGGTCACATTCATCTTCCTTAAGTCCATACCGTCCTTAAACTTCACTCACCAAACAGGTCCTTTGCACTCATCTTGGGCACACCATAAGACCGGCCCAGACTGCCACTGCAGGGGGAGAGGCAGGTGAGGGCAGGGCTCATGTCACACCCCTCCCTGGGGACTTGGGGGGCGGTAGGACAACACTTACTTGGCAGCTCCTGGGCAGCAGCTCATGGACCCTGACTGGCTCATGGTGTTCCCAGTGGCGGCCAGCGTCGAGGGCAGACCTTAGTCTGGTTGGTGTCTAGGGCCCAGTGCCTGGCCTCCACCTAAGGACAGAGGAGCTCAGCTGACACTTTCTCCCGGCTAGGCTACGCCTGGGTCTCCTTTCTCATTTCTGCTCCACAGCCTGGAACCCTCAGTGCCTGGCCAGACACGCCAGGTAGCAGAGTCCTCCAGACTCATGCCATTGCTGGTGGCGATGGAGACCTATCTGGCCTCAGACTCTTGGTTCTGTGCAGAGGTGCTCCCAAGAAGCTGTCAGGGAGGCTCTGCTGGAAGGGCTGGGTGGGGAGCACACTGAGGAGAGAGGACAGCTCCTTCAGAAGCTGAGGCAGGTGAGGGTAAGGCTAGAGACCTAGGAGAGCACAAGTACAGAGGAACCCCACTATTCCAAGGGACCTCTGCATATACATGTGAACATGTCCACAGGGACCAGCTCCTCCAGATCTGGCAAACAGACCAGCCCTTGGCTCCCTCTTGGGAGACCCTCGAGAGGGTGGGGAGAGAGAGAAGTTTTGGGGGTGACTGGCCTCCCCAATACAAATTCAGGTGACCGTAAATATGCAAAGCCTGTCCATGAGTAGGATTCCCAGCCCTGTCCTCCCCTTGGTTACATTTTTGGGGAAACTGAGACATAGATATGAATGTGAGCAAGCTTTTCCTATAAACTAGTCTTGGGTTCTTTTTAGACACAACAGAAGCTGGTGGCCTGGGCCAGCCTTACATCAAATGATGACTCCAGGTACCTTCAGTGACAGGCTGCCTTCAGGCCACTGGAGAAACAGGTAAACAGTGTTTCTAACTGTCCTGCTGGGGCTCTACAGCCAGCTCTTCCTGATGTTCTGGGTCCACATACACAGACTACCTCTGTCTGCTATTACTAGCGAAGCCACCATCTCTCCTAGCTAAAGCATTTGACTGGTAGGGCCACCAATCAGGGTGCTGGTATGAGGGCTCAGGAGAAGGCCTTTAGTATTCTAGTATTTTCTGGTTTGGCCAGGTCTTGAGGGGTGGGCTGCCAGGAAGGGAGGCCTTAGCTCTTACCTTTACCGACTCTCCTGCCGCACTCCTGCCCCCACTCCAGGTCCCAGCTTATGAGAAGAGGCTGGGCCAGATTTTTAGGTCCACCTATCCATGGAGAATGTCCGGAATGCTCCTGACCTCAGAGGGTAAGCCCTAGTGTTTGCTTAATGGGATTCCTGGCTAGCTCAGCCAAGGGCGCCAGGCACGTGGGGCCAGGAGTACACAACCAGGACAAAACAAACTTCTGGAGACCCAGGCCTGAAGGCACCTACACTCGGGACAGGCTTGGACATGCAGCCCTGCCCTTGGGGGAATATAGGCCGGGACCTTTGGCCTAGGGAAGAGGGATGACACCGGGGCTGCCTCTAGCCTGCAAAAGGCTCACTCCTAGGAGGCTGCTACAGCTGAAGAGGGGTGGGAGGCAGGAAACTCATAGAATCCATTGCTGGTGAAGATGAAACACCCAGGCCCAGGCTGGACTTCGGTTTTACTGTGGCCATTTTCCGGTTTGAAGGGAGGCCCAGCATGCTAGAGTGTTTGGTAGGTTCAGCAGTGGAAGGGGAGGAGGCCCTGGCAGGGCAAGGAGGGCGGAAGAACTGGCTCCAAGTTCAAATTCCAGCTCTACATGCTGAGTGACCTTGGGGAGGGGTCAGTTTAGTCACCTGGGCACTTGGCTGTCCTTGTGGGAGCAGGGTGTGGCCCTGGAAAGGGATGGGGGAGTTCCTTAGGTGCTAGCTGGGTCCTGGTCTTGGAACAAAGTTCAGGAATCATCAGGTGGGAGCGATAGAGGCTGAGATAACTGGAAAGCTCTTGGTGGGAGGGGATGGGTGCACCTGAAGAGACCCAGGAAGTCTGGCTGGGAGCGATGGGCCACCCAGCTCTAGATAACAGACAGGGCTAGGAGAGGTCAATGCACAGGTCTAGGGGTGGGAGGGCCCCAGCAGTACCCTGCCTCCTCAATAGGTAAAGGAGGCAACAGCAGAGGTGGTCTGTGGACACACCTCCCCCCTCCCTACCTCTAGGGATACCCTCATTGTAGTTAGTAGTACAGACTTGTCAGTCCCGGGGACCTTAGGGAGCCAAGCTGTGGATGTCCATAGGTCCTCCCACCGGCCGATGGCTCCCTGCCGGGATCTACTCCCAGCCCCTACCCCCATCCCCTGAGACTCCACATCCCAACTTTGACCTGAAGACCGGCTAAACCTGACGTTTCCCCGGCTCTTCGTTTCTTTGGGGCTCAGACAGCAAGGAAAGGCCAACCTTCAGGCGCTGGGTGGTATGGGTGGTATGCCCATGCCAGGGTGAGAGTCTGAAGGAGGTCCAGCCTGCTGGATGGAATGAAGGCCCTCCCTTCCTCACCACCTCTCTTGTCAACTGCCAGGTTCCCCTCATCCGCCCCAGGGCTGGGAGGGGTCCGGGACCAGGGCGAGTGAGTCACACACCACTGGCTTAAAAATATCACTGAACCACTGGCCGCCGCCCGCTGGACCGATGGGGCCTCAGCCGAGCGGTTCTTAGACTAAAAGCCCAAGAAAGGCTCAGGCCCAGCCTCTCCCTCAAGTTCCTACGCCCCACGCCCCACTCAGAGCCCCCAAACCCAGGCTTAGCTGGCCCCAGAGTCCGGCGATCCCGATCATCCCAAACCTCACACTCAGGTGCTCTCAGCTCCCGGTGCTGGGTTGCCCTCCAAACCAAGCGCCCGACCCAAAGTCTCGGGCCAGAGCTCCACATCCCATGGCCACTCTGGGAAACTGAGGCCCAGTTGGGCAACCTTCCTGGCTGAAGCGCTCACCTGCTTTCCGTCAGTCAGCGCCTGCGTTTGCCTAGTCCCCTAGGTCAGTTTGTCCGCCGGCCCCGTCTGTCAGAGCCTCAGCAGCAGTGAAGCTCCTTCTCCCCCGACAGGCGGGACCTCTGCTGGGCCGGATAGGCCGGGGCGGGGCTGTGAGAGGAGGAACCTGAGCGACAGGTTACGGAGTCACCCGGGAGTGGGGGCGGGCCTGGGACAACCCCCACTCCCACAACACAGTTCCGCCTCCCTCGCCTCCTTGTGCCCTCCCAGCGGTCCCCAAAGCACCTGGGGCCCCTCCGCAGCTGGCCCTAGAGTGCAGGGTGCGGCCCCAGCTGCTCTGACTGGCCAAGCTGCAGTAGCAGGTAGGGACATGGGCCTGCTTGCAGAGACAGTACGGGATGAAGCCTACGAGGCTGAAGCCCTGAAGCCGGGGGGAAGTCTCAATCAAGCCGCTATCCGGTGCCCTCCCACCCCCCAGTTGCACCGGGCCAGAGCTCTTTAGTGGTTCAGTCCTGGGGCCTGGAACTTTGGGTTCAAGGCTTTTTGGGTTTCAGAGCTTTAAGCTCCCCGGCGGGGTCCCCTCCCTTCTGCACATGCAGGAGCTCCTAAAGTCCAGCTTGAGCATCATCCCCTAAGAGTTGGGCTATCATGGAGTTGGGCTACCTGTCTCCACTACGTTGACCCTGGGGCTACCCTGCCCACCCTGCTATTTGACAGCTCAGAGCAGGGTTGGAGGAATTTAGAACAGCCAACTAGCTGGCTAGGAGGAAATAAAGGGAGTTATGACCCGCTAGCAAAGGGTACTGCCCTTATGTGAACACCCTAAGGCCCCGGGTATTGTTCCTGGAGTTGGGGCACAGGAAATGGGTGCTGCCAGGAAGTCAGGGTCCCAGGCTACAGTCCCAGAAGGGCAGGGCCCTGGCATGTTTACTCTGGCCAGGCAGTCAGTCCTTCCTAGGGCACTGGGTGCTCTGCCCCTGAGGGTCAGCAACACTGTCTGACCTGGTTTGTGCCCATCTGACACATTCTGAGACATCACAGGTGAGCTGGACAGAGGGATGGCTGAAGTGGACTTGGCCTTAGAGGTCCAGCTCCTGATGAACCCCGGAGAGGCTTCCTGGTTCACAGCCCTTACTGCGGATCTCACAGAACTGGCCCAATCTTGCTCTGCCTGTGACCTCACCCTGGCCCAGCAAGCAGGGGTCAAGTGCTCGGCCGTGTAACGGGAGGGGCGGGTGCACGTGTGTGCCCTGACATTCCTGGGCAGTGCTGGGATGGGGAAAGAGTGGGGCGACCCAGCGCTGCTACCAGTGTTCACAAACTTTGCTGTGAGATAGCCCAAGCTGGCGGTAGCAGCTCATGTCCACTTGGGGCTGCCTGAAGCCATGTAGCCAGTAAGAACAGGGGTGTTAAATGCCTGAAACTCTGGCTTACTGCATGTGCAAGTGACAAACTTTCTTCCCAGCAGAGGTCCTGACTTGATGTGCAGGGAGTGGCTGAGCCCTCTGGACCCACTGGTCTTAGCCTGTTCTGTATACCCAGGCTATACTTGCTCAAGGCAGAGGGACGGTGGGGACGGGGTTGCCCATAGGCTTTCTAGATCACTGGTCCTTTACAAGCCTGCCTGTGGGACAGGCAGAACACGTCTCCAGGCCATCCTGGTACTCACCATGGTCTCTGGGAGATATGGGTTAAAGGAAACCAGCCAAGGACCCATGGGTATAGAAGGTTCCCTGGTCCCAGGGAAGGCTCTGCATAGTCCTGTAACAAACTTCACAGGGAGGCTTCTGGCTAGTTACCAGAGTAGAGAAAAGCCAGATAGAGGCTACAGGGCATGTCCTAGGACAGGGTTGAGAAGGGGTAACAGCATGGGCTCTTCATGCTGGACCCTGGGGGGAAGGCAGGTGGTTGTAATTAAGACAAAATCATGATAGTATCATTTATTTTTTAAAAAGAGATACTAGATATTTGAACATAGCATCACAAACAGAGAACACATAACAGAAACAAACAAAAGAAACTATAAAGAAACTGATTAAATATTTTTTTTAAGAAAAAATGGGCTAGGAATGGAAAAACAAGAGAGGAAGTCCCTTGGTACTCTACAAAGGTGGCAGTTTAGTGGACTGTGATTCCCAGAATCCTAGACTGTTCTTTTATTCTGTCTTTTGCTCCTTATAACTCCCCAGGCTCCTATCTCCCCCCCCCAAAACAGCTGAGATGAACATCATAATACCCAGCTCTCTGCCTTTTTTTTTTTTTTTTTTTAAGACAAGGTCTAACTATGTAACACTGGCTGACCTGCAACTCACTATGTAGACCAGGCTGGTTTTGAACTTACAAAGATACGCCTGTCTTTGCCTCTGGGTGCTGGGATCAAAGGTGTTTGTATGTCACCACACTTGGCATACATTTGCTTTTGTTTCTTTTTGGAAACCAAGCAGTTTCATTCAAGGCTGGCCTGACAGGGAGCCAAATTGGGGGAACACTGGAATACAAGGCCTGCAATTCTGCAGCTCCAGGCGGATCCCAGCCCTGGACCAAAGTCTGACAACAGAGTAAAGCAGGCTCCCAGAACAAGAACCAGTACCAGTGTGGGATGCACGGAAGGCAGTCATTCCTGTGTGAGAAAACATATGGTGACAGAACAACACAGCCAAATCCTCCTGCCATGATGCTGCGTTTCTGGTGCTGAGACAAGGTGGAGCTGCTGGGCTGCCCCCAGGTGTTGACTTCCTGAAAGGCTTTACCTTCCACTGGCCTGTCAGTCACTGGTGGTTCTGCTGTTACAGCCAGAACCCCAGCCACAGGATATGAGCAGACATCTCTGGGATTCAGTAGACTTCTGTCCATGATGGCCGTCTTCAAGTTTCTAAAAGTTTGTCCCTCTTTGGTTTCTGTACCCCCCCTCACTAAAAAAATATTAGAAACCATATAAAACTATCTATAG